ACCTCGCCCCTCCCCACCCCCCAACCATTCGAATTTCTGTAGGCGGGAATTATTTTTAATGATATTCTAATGGGCCGCTTTGTGATATCACAAAGCCCGGAAAACAACGTTGTAGTCCAAACGAGCCGTTCGTTGTAGTTCTTGAAAAGGGATTTTTTTTTTAAACGAAATATCTCCCTTTGGAGTGGACTTTGAGATTTGTAACTTTCTAGATCTTTTTTATGCCCAAACATACACACTACACACTGACTAAAATTAAAAAAGTGAAAAAGCATAATAGGACCCCTTTAAGCTTTTACAGTCCACAAACTTTCTCCTGGACTCTTAAAAAAAGTGACTTCCATTTTCCACATTATTTGCTCAAAATTAAGATTTAAATGAATAATCATTTACCGGATGCTAATCTGACCTACTGAGCCCTTCCAGAATGGATAAAGAGCCTCAACAATAAGGATCCTGACCAGGTATTTGTAATATCATAAAGAATGAAAGATATTTTAACCCAGCAGGATGATCTTCAGGAACTTTTAATATCTAATACCTCTCGTTTTAATTTGTGCGTGTGTGTGTGAGAGAGAGAGAGAGAGAGAGAGTGTGCATGCAGAGTCTTGGGTGATTTATTTGTGGTGTTATGAACAATGAGGATGTTAAAGACTGCAGTGACTGTTCCCATGACATCTTAAAGACATTTGAATAGAGAACTATTGTTTTATTTATTGTACAGCTAAGATTTCTTATAGTATTTGTACAAAATTGTATATGTTTCCATCGCAAAATTTTGAAAAGGTACTTTACTCCTGTTGTACAGCTCTTTATTTACACAAAGTGTGTCGAACACAAATTGTACATTTCTAGAATGAGATTGTGGTTTTAATTTTATGTAATTATGAATTAATATTTTTGTAAAGCTTATAGCCACTTGTCTGTAAACACAATGTAATTTTATCTTGGCAAAAAAAATAAACAAATGAAACATTTAATTTTTTCCATTTCAGTTGAGAGAGAACGAGACTGAGCAGTGATGCATAATAAATTATATAATCTAATCCAGTGTTTCCCAACCGGGGTGCCGCGGCACCCTGGGGTGCCGTCTGTCGAGAGCAGAGGTGCCGTGTAAAAATCCTTTTTTAATATTTTTTAATTGCTAAAATGTTCAAAAAAGCATCTACTATATAATATCCATTTCTGATGTCGCCAATAATTAGAGATGCACCGAAATTTCGGCTGCCGAAAATTAGTTCACCGCTCAGGTTTCACTTTCACGTGGTGTGACGCTCTGCGTATTA